AGCACGCGCGTCGCCACGTAAACACGCGTCGGGTGCGCCTACGCATGAAAACGACGAACGCGCTACACATGTTGGGTATCGCCGCGCACGCCGGAGTGAGAGCAATAATTCTAGGGCCAGTATTTTGGGGTATCTCTAAATTGATGACCTGTGGGGGCTTTTAAAGTGTCTTATTGATTTTTTTGGGGTACTGCAGTTTTTCGCCGTTTCACGGTCGCACGCAATCTGTAAACTGGGCATGTTGGGTATCGTTTTACTCGTTGTAACCTCATCTTTTATATTTCATTTAAAAAATGGGTAATTTGTTGTGTTTTGGGGCATTTAATTAAATTTGTCACTAAATTTTGGGGTTTAATAAGGAGTTGCGCTAATATTGCGCAACATAAACATTTTCAACTACCACCATTTTATTCTATAGGGTCTTGGCATTCAGAAAATATATAATGTTGGGGGGTTTTACGTCATTTTCAGGCCTAAAATGTGGAATATAACATGGGTGCAAAAATGGAAAAAAGGGCCTCAGTCATGAAGGGGTTAAGGGAGTATAGGCTGTTTACCTTGCAAAGTGAATGTCGCTGAGCAAGGTGAAGTTGTGTTTACTTCAAATATCCAATCATTATTTTCGACTTGCTAACATTACCTTTGCAAAGTTCATATCTAGACTTAAAGTAGTACTAAAGGGTAGGCTTTTTTTTTACCTTAATGCATTCTCTGCATTAAGGTAAACGCCCAGTACCTTTCCAAGTTCTCCTGTCCGACGACCCCTTTCCTCAGTGGGCAGAGGAGCCATAGGCTTCTTCTGCTGTCAGTTAATCTTGGTGGGGGAGAGGGTCAGTCTTTTTGGGGGGGAGTGGTGGAGGGAGCAGGAACATGGCTTGCCACACACTGTCTATGGACACACACACACAGGTGCCTCCTCAGCAGCAGGATAGCACATGGGGGCTAACAGTTTGGGGACCAGCTAGTGAACGAAGAAATAAACTTTAAAGAAGAATAGTGAATGCATGTAATTGTGGGCATCCTAATCATAAATCTATCATTTTAACCTTCATTTGTGGCCAGCATAAAAGGAAGATCCATATAAGCCAACATTCCATTACAAATATTCACATTTGTACATCGGACCGAACTTTAAACATTTGATGGTCAGCAGTGGCTATAGGAGCACATACCCTATTGTGAGTTTTTCTTTAATTTTTTTCAAAAAGTGCTGAAACCTTTTTTTTTTTTTTTTTTTGTGTCATTTCCACATAACTAGCAGTAAACAAATGAATCTTTCAATGCAATGTATATGTGTTATCAATGAACCAAGCCTGTGTTTTAAAGTTTTATGTAAACTTTTTTTCAATTTAGGTTTATTTTTTATTAAGGTCTGTGTCCCCACTAGGGAGTCCTCCCCCCCTTTCCGTGTGTCTTGGTGAATGTTACACAGATAAAGTGATGGGACATTCTAAATTTTTCTAATACTGAAAGGCGAGGTGAAATCTTTCAATGGGTAAACTGGTTCTGGTGACAACTCTCTCTAAGATGGTATATCTGCCTGGTTTGGAGAGATCTTTTTATTCTTCCTTCTGTGTCTCTTGGATAGGTAGAAAAGGGAAGTTTCTACGATGGGGCAAAGACAGAGTGGTCCTAACCATTCCTTACTCTATCCAAAACTAAAATATATATATATATATATACACACTTTACTCACACACACACACTTTACGCACACACACACACACACACACTTTACGCACACACACACACACACACACACACACTTTACGCACACACACACACACACACACACACACACACTTTACGCACACTTTGACAATATGAAACTTGTTACTGAGTTCTGCAAGACCAGAACTCTAAAATGTTTACCTCCTAGTGCCAAAACGGCTCTAGTGATATTGATGACATTTGTATAGTAACAAATTTGATATTACAAATATTTTTTTATTATGCAAGCCATGCATATCCCTCAGTTGTAATATGTAGTCACATTGTATATGTTTTGAGAAGTGGAAATGTCTTCCATATTGTAGTTCTTTTACTTGTAGATTTACTTTGTCATTTAGATATGTTTTCTACCTTAAGCATTACTCAAAGTAAAATTTAACATGTAATGTATTACATGCAGATTCTAAAATTGAAATCCATGGGTTGGGTCTTTGTTTCTAATTGGTTATATAACTATCACCACTAAAGGTAAATGCAAGTTATTTCTAGTATGTCAAATTAATTTACCATCATGTAAATTACCAGCGAAGGACACTCACTCATTCCTTAAAACTTTATTGATATAGTTTACTGCATTCTGCCTTTTGTTCCCGAACATCTAAATAGTAATTCCTTTTTACAGCTGTGGGCATATCATTGTGCTTTAAAGGGATGTCAGCTTAAGAAGTCCCCCTTTTGAAACTAGTATTAGCATAACGCACTATAGATCATTCACTAGGTAACAGGTTAGAAAGCTTCTTGGCTGTCACCAGTTTCACCATTTGTTTTTTTTTTATAAACTTTTTTTTCCCATTTCTGTCAGACCATCTGTACTTCACTAGAAGTCCCCCCTTATTTTCAGGGATTTCAAAAGTGTTTGTTCGGATATTGCCTTTAAGTGGCCTTCACTCTCTGGAACTTGTATAATAAAGATCTGACTTCAGTTGAACTGGTGTTTTTACCAGTATGTTTCTTTATTGTTCTTTCCAGTAACGTGTCATGTAATTTTAACCATTAACACTTATAGTATTGTTTTGATAAAGCACTGTTTTCTAACCAATGTACATTTTTATGGCATAGTTAAATAGTATGAACAGAGAAATTAATCACCTGTACATAGACTGAGTATTTTTTTTCTACTTTTTTATTTTGTTATTTAAGAAATGTTATTTTACAGATACCTTTCCTAATATGTTTGTCACTGTAATAAAAACAGTTACTGTGGCCTGGATGGGAAGGGGGTTTAACACCGCGGATGTCAACTGGTTAAAGAGGTTATTCCAGACTAACTTAAAATGTGACTAGAGCAGAGCAAGGAATTTTATGGTACAGTTGGTCAGAACTGAAAAATAGGAACACTTCCAAAATATGCAGCTGTTCCTTAAAATCTAGAAACCTATGAACAAAAGAGCAAAGTGTCATTATGACTATGGGTGAGCTGTGATGCGAGACATCACTTAGGCTGGGTTCCCACCTGGGCGGATTGAATATGCGCGTTTTCCGTGCGTTTTTTTACCGCGATTCGCGGGGGAAAAACGCTGCGGCAAACGCGCGTTTCCGAGGGATACTTGGCTGTATCCCAATGGAACCGCCCGACCAAAACGC